GGTGATTAGGTTACATGATGATTTCATCTTCTGAATATTCCTTTTTATGTAAATGCAGTTGGGTGTTGTGTGGTTCATTGTTTCACTGTTACACTGATAAATGTAAAGCAGAGCTATATTTTGGGTCCATTTAAGGAATCTTTGAAATCAGTATTTGACTTAATCTGACAGGATGGGCTAGATTCGAGTGTCACCATCACTTAGTGGACCATAGTGGAGCTCACTGAAAATATTGGCATGCATGCTAGTAATATCCACCTAACAAAGCCTCTCTGTCAACAAGGTTTACGAATCGCTTTTGTTATACACGGTACCTGCGCCATCGTACGCTTTTATCACAGCATATCAAAAATACCAGAATGACTGGCAAATTACATCTGAATTAGATGTTGCCATTCTTCTTTACTGTTGTAGAAGTGTTTCCTCCATGAACTCTGCGAAATGGGGTTACCTATCCCATCACATCAGAGCTCAAATGGAGACATATAAACATATAATCAAAACCCTGAATAAAGGCTGGCGCGCAATGCATAAAAACAGTCAGCTGCTTATTGCAAGTGTAGCAGAGCCAAGCAGATGGCTTGGCCTCTTCTGGAAACACCAAATAGGAACATTCCAGTATATTTATGACCTGTTACACAAACTCCCTGGAGCACACACACAAAGTCTTTCTTTTTGCTTTGTTATATGGTCATGTTATCTTCAAGATGGTTTTTTGACAGCACAGCGCAATTTGCCTGATGTTTCCAGAATGGACATGAAATTTATTTGCGGCGCTTTTATTAGATTTTTGTAATAGCTATCAAATTAGCAGTGTTGAGGAAACTACTTTGGAACTGCAACTTGTTAAGATGCTCATAAAGTAGTTAAACTACAGCCAAGCTACACTTAGGGCAATAGTAATGCTAGTTAACTAAAAATAGCTTTTTGAGAAAAAAAAATAAAAAATCTTTCTGGAAGTAATTGTCAGATGGTACTGCTTATTTCTGCAGTTAGCCCATTCATCTGGGATAAGACTCCAGAACTAACTAATAAAACTAGAAAATGCGTTTATATAACAGAGCCGAATACATTGTTTAAATAAATATTTCGGTTTTAAATGAATTGGTGAATCATTTAAATGAATCAGTGAATTGTTTGTTTAAATCAGCGAATTGTTTAAATAAATCAGTGAATCGTTTATTTAATCAGTGAATCGTTTATTTACATGAACCATGTGAATGAACTGATTCACCAAATTAAATCCGATTTCCCAATGCAACATACGAGAGAGAGGACAAAGTTCACTCTGCTGATGGAAAAAAACAGCGATGGAGCCAGCTGTCATGCTACACCGCCGCTTATTGGTAAATCTGCACTGTTTTGAAACAGCTGATGTGCTGTTGTCAAGTTAGTAGCATGCTGTTTTTAGTTATTTACACCCTAATGGTGCAATAGAATCAAGGACCTATTTTGTTTTTGTTAGCCTCAAGACCCGATTTCTGTTTGCGTTTGCAGAAATGTGTGATTATAACAAATATTGGGTACAACAGTGGATGAAATAGTAGTAGACTTCGCCTCTTCGTCGCCTGCACTCTGTCAACATGTCTCGTGATCCTCATGTCCAAGAGAAAAGAAAAGAAAACCTTGGGAACCTTCTGAAAAGACAGATAATCGCTCAAACCAGTTGCTCCTTTATTAGCAGTATGTCACCTGATCTCCAAACCTTTGTATGGCAGTTGTTAGCAAAGTTGTACTAGTATCTGCAACGGGAGCCAGAAGACTGCGGCTTTCCTCTGGTACTTCCACACAGAGACTACACTGTGCTCAGGACAGCTCATCCAGAAGAACGATCAGGTTCTAGTGGCGCAGCGGCTTGGCCAGCTTTCTCCAAGCCTTGTTCAACGTCACCTTGCTTCAGCGAACACACTCTGAAAGCTCCAAAGCATCTTGGTGCCGCTTTCCTGGCACATGTAGATGGCTTGTCATATTCCATAAGCCCCCATAATAACTCTTCAATTACCTTCCTGTATTGTGTGTCTTGGGCAATGCTCTGTGGTGTCAAGGGGGGGCCGAGGGAGGTCTTTCCACAACGCTGTGTTATTACTCATTTAAAGACATTGGTGTTGGCATAGTCTGTGGTACATCTGTTCTGCAGGGCAGAGGCGCAGCTTTTCGCTTTTTTTTTGATTAAGTTAAGATGGTTAACGGTAACCGATCCTAGCCGCCACGCTGCCAGTGCGCAATACACCGGCGGCGGCCACGTAAACAGGAAAACTCGCGCTCTGACGCTCGTTGGGGCCGAGCGACCGCAGCATCTAGGCCTGTTGGTGAGACACTTCTCAGAAATGAAAACGGCTCGAATGCTCTTTTAATTTATTTATTCCTTCCTTTTAGTGCTTTGTGTTCCTGCGGGTTTCCATGCCACAGCAAATGGAGGAGGCAAAAGGATAATGAGAAAAATCCCAGAGCTCAAACACAAACATACTGCCTTTCATTTGCAGCACAGCTTGATCTGTGGAGATCAGTCCTGCTCTCTTTTGTTGTCATTTATAATAATAATAATAATATAATAAGCTAGACCGCTTTTGGCTCTTCTCATTGACCCTTCTGTTTGTACTTTACTGCTTGTATGTGTACAAAAGAAGATAAAACTCTTAAACACTTTGAGGAAGAGGTCTTTGATTCTACTTGTGGCCTGATAATATTAGTTGGTATTTCATTTTATCTTTTTAATATACAGTATTTTCCTAATTAAAATATATTAAAATATAGTTGCATTTTCAAATTTATATAAATTCAAATTTAAATATATACAATCAGACGGTGATCTGAGTTCATCAGTCATACATAATGCCATTTTATTATATTTTATTTTTTGTTTTGACCCATTCCTAATTATACACTCTTAAAAATAAAGGTGCTTAAAAGGTTCTTCACAGCGATGCCACAGTAGAACAATTTTTGGTTCCACAAAGAACCATTCAGTCAAAGGTTCTTTAAAGAACGATCTCTTTCTTACCTTTTTATAATCTGAAGAAGAGGTCGACCCCAATCGTTCGGCTGATTAATCGGCCGATTTTTGGCATTTTTTTAATGAATCGGCATCGGCTGATTATGCTGCAAATTAGGCCGATTTATAGGCAGGCGCCACTGCGGGCAGCTAAGCATTGCGGGACTCCCTCTGAGGCTGCGTGAGAAAGAGCGGCTCACACTCTGGCTTGTTCACACACAGCTTCAGCTAATGGCAGGGCAAAACAGACCGTTTCGAAAGTGGAATTGACGTTTTACCCTACTAGAATTGATGCCGGAAAGTTATCATATTCATAAGTGCAACAAGTCATTTGCATGTGAATGTAGAAACACGTTCAATTCAGACGAAACTTCTGGGCTGATTATAACGTGCACGTTAACTTTCCTCATGAAATGTGTGTGTGGGTCCGACAATAGCATCCACTATGTCATCGCTTGTGGCCAGTGCACTCTTAAGCAGTTATGAGCAGCAGGCTGTGTAATATGCGTGAAATCTTTTATTTTTGTTATCACTATAGCCATTTGACTTATAGCAGTGTCCAGTGTTTCCGATACATTGAGTTATTTGTGGCGGCTCATCACAATATCAAAACTGACCACTACAAATAGATTTTCCAAAAGGCTTATACTTCGTTGAATAAATTGAGCGCTTCACGTTTCAAAATAAAAATACAGCCCAGGTGTTTTTATATGAATGTATCTTTGAAAAGAACTGACTGTCTTCGGTAAAGCTTTGATGTCATTTTCATTTCGTCTTTCCTGTAATGCCTGATAAAGTAGAGTTTGTGAGCGCAGCACTGATTTGATTACAGCCGTTACCGGGGAAACCGCTATATCTCCCGCTCCAGCAGTGCCTCCTGCTGGCAGAGAATTAATTTGCAGTATGTGGGAAACACTGGTGTCTGTCAGCAAACATAAACAAAAAGCATGCTTCAGAACTGTTTTGAGAAGGTGCTTAAGTTTTGAGCCATGTATTATTACTCTAAATTGGGCTACTACTACTATTACTATCTTGTACCCTGCAATAATCATTTGCTCAAACTCACTTTTATGAGATGAATGGGAAAAAAAAAGAAAATCGGCCAAACATATCGACCAAAAAAATCGGCATCATATATCGGCCACCGGCTGCCCTGATTTCTAAATATCGGCATCGGCCAGTGAAAAACCCATATCGGTCAACCTCTAATCTGAAGAAGCTTCTTTCGCCACAAAGAACCTTTTCTGAAACAGAACCGTTCTTCAGATGTTAAAGGTTCTTTATAGAACCATTTAGACAAAAAGGTTCTTCTATGGCATCGTGAAGCACCTTTATTTTTAAGAGCGTATACAACACTTATTATTTTGTAAAAGATGCCTGATTTTCAGATTAAAATCACCAGGACAGTATCAGTACAGCATCAGGTTGGATAAAAAATTAAGTAGAAATTGTGTTTTTTGTTGAATGGTGTAGTAAGTTTTCATTTTTTTAATATATTTTTTTATTTTGTTTAAAAAGATACACAGTTAACTTAATAATTGTACTATATTTATTTGAGCTTTAGTACAAGCTTTTAGTTTGTATTTTATTTTTTATTTAATTTTGTTTTATATTGACCCATTCCTAATTCAATACATAGCTTATACATTAAAATATCACAGATTTTAAAATCACTTTAAATGTACAATAGGCATGTGATCTGATTTCATCAAACATAATGCAACATTATAACATTTTTATTTGATCTTTGTTTGATCCTTTTATTGTGTTTTTGTTATTCTGAATATAATCATGCATATTTTGTTTTTAAAAATAGTATGTGAAACATTATGCATTATTTCATAATGTGCATTCTGCAAATCTTTTGCCAATGCTAGTTCCTAAAAAGTTGCTATACCATTAGTTGTCAAAGACACACAAGTTCCTCTCTCCTCATGTTTCCTGTATCCATCCACCTCAATGTCCATCTGTAAATGTCTGACTGAAATCTGTTGGTGTGTCCTTGCAGGCAAATGAAAGACCAAAGCAAGAAGGTAGCCAACCTGAAGCACAAAGAGCAGGTGGAGAAGAACAAGAACGCACAGTTGATGGAAGAGGCTCGTAAGCGAGAGGATAACATGAATGACAGCTCTCAACAGATCAAGGTAAAGTCCACATGACATTTATTTACTTTATTCACAGTTATGTACAGTTCTTGAGTCTGTTCCGGATCAGACTTTACTCATATAATGTTGCCTAATTGAAATGCAGGATAAATCCCTGTGCCTTGCAATGGATTTCAAGCAAGGGTTTTACACACAAAACCACTGAAATCTGACTAGAGCAGTGGCTGTTATAGTCTTAACATTGAAATGTAACCCATAATGAGGCCCATCAACCTTTTAAGAGGGTCAAAGTCCCCCCAAAACCATGATTTATTCACAAAAGTTCAATCTTTTGTGCAGCGTTTAAAGGTTTTTCTTTTGCGCTGCCTAGAAATGTGTCTCCTCAGAGCGATCCGTCTTCTGATTATATAAGTTTGGATCTCAGCTCCGGTTCCTCATTTGAGAATTGCTGGGATTCTTCTCAGGTAAAGAGCGATCTCATGTTTCCCTCATCCAGACCGCATTCACGCACATCCTGACCTCGTGTCCTCCTCTCATTGTGAGCTTTGGATTTTGGGAAAAGAGAAAAGGAGAGAATAATTGAACGATGAAATAAGACACAGTTGTTCAGTGCAACCGCAGGAACTATTTTTGAATTTATGGCTCCGCGATATTGAAGCAGAAGCATCGGTATCCAGGTATCGGCGTGTTTAGTTTGAACTGATTTGCAAATACAAACGACCTCATCCAGGCTGATGTAACTTTCATCATATTGACTGTTTTTACCCCGATTTGACAGGATGGTGGTCTGTGGTGGCCGCTCCCGCCCTTCTAGAGTGAGGGTTCAAATAGAAAGCCAGAATCAGCAGTTAATGTCTGTGAGAATCTCAGCGCAAAAAGTCCCACTTTTTATGGAGGGGCTGTTTTTCCTCTTTGCCGTAGACCTCTGGACAACAATGCCACAGCGGCCCTCCCTTTGTTGTGGTTTTCTGTGTTTTTCCTGGCCGTCGGTTTGTTCTTTCGATCATTCTCCCTTTTCACATTTTCCTTGTACTGTGTCATGTGTTCTTTGTTTTCGTTCGAGTTCATATGCTCTTTTTCTGACAGCAGGATTGATGTGCTATTGGACCTCGACCTGTGGTACCCGGCGACTGTTGCGTCGGTGTGTGCGTGTGCACAAATACGTGTTGCGGTCAAAGAGAGCTCATTTATGACTTCAGGGCCCCAGCATCCTCCGTGGGGTCACGTTGCCGCAAGCCCACATTGTGGCTTGCGCTCCCCCTTTCGAAGCACCCTGATGCGGCTGCATCGCGGGCCTCATCTGGAAGCGGCGACAGCTGCTTCCTTCAGCCAAGACCTTCAACCACCACCACCTTCCCCCACAGGCACGTCACGATCCGGCCTTGAGGCCCTGAGACTGCAGATCAGGCGAAGCCCGAGCTGTCTCCACACTTTATTGGACGTGTTTGGAAGGGAAACCGATTGTTGTAGATGATTTGGTATGGTTACGGTGATCCTGCTCCAATCGGTTGGTCAGGGTGAGCTGAGAGAGAGGTTAGTCCAGGACACCAGAGCAGTCATCTCTCTCTGACCCGGCACTAAAAATGGCTTTTTCAATCAATGAAGAAGGTTTCCATTGGAGCCCTGAGTGGGACATGGGGTGGTCGGTTGTGGTTGAGCACCAGAGCTGCACAAACACATTCAAATTATCAACTGTTGACATTGGAGAAGGTTAGATGGTCAGAAAGGAAGGACTCTTGCTTCTATTTTTTTTTTTGTTTCCTGCTGGTGGCGTTGTGCTGCTTTCACATGATTTGATCCAATCAGTCCTCTTGTGGTGCTTTCTTAGGCAAGTATCGGTGTAACTTCCAACAAACACATAGACCTTACTGTTAAACTTTAGTGTGTAATGCGTGCTATTGACATGATTCATACCTCAAATTGGGCTTGAACTGAACTGGTCTTAAAGGTCCCATATTGTACACCTTTCTGGAGTTTTGATGTCCTTAAGAATATATATTTGCGGTATAAGTACCAAAAAGCATCTCAATATATTTTTACAGCTCCTCTCTCAGGAGCTCTGTTGAGAACAGGTCGATTTTGGTCTGTCTAATTAATATTCATGAGCCTCTCTTCTGATTGGCCTATTGTTTTCTGAGTGACGCGTGTTGTCCTTGCTCAGCAAAAGCATGGACGCGGTGTTGTCTGGGGGTTTGGCAAAAGGAGAGTGGGACTGTGGGCGGTGCTCGGGGTGGTGACTGAAGGCGGTGACTGTGTAGTCCTGACGTCAACTTTTTACGGAAGTCACAATGGTTCGTGAAAAATAGCTAGAACTTTAAGCAGGCTGTGTGCATTTTACTGTGGACTGACTGTTTTGAAACTTATATGGTAGTTAAATAGCCCCTAGACTGCAGTTATCGTGAAAAAAGCCAGGAAATTTAAGTTTTGACAATATGGGACCTTTAACACGCAGGAAGTTGAACTGAAATTGGAATGGCAGGAAGTGGAAATGACTAAACTGCAATGCTAAGAAATACAACACAGGTAATGCATTCTGGGAAATGAAGTGGTGTTCAGCAATCTGTTTGTCTGTAAGTCCTATAAAACCTTCAAGACTAAAATTAAAAAATGGACCAACTTTCATTCTAAAATTTATTTAAAATTGTTAAATTCTATTTGAACAATACTTATTAGGGTTGTATGAATTTTTGAGAATTTAAATTCAAATTCAACCTTTTTTTCTTTTTTGCAACCTCATTTGAAATTTAATTCAAATTCAATAATGGATTTGGAATGAAAAACACTGTGAAACAAATTTTTATAAATGTTTTGTTTTGCTTTCATTTTTAATGTTTCTTTATAAAGTTTGATATGCTAAATATCAAAATCACATACATTTTTGTGAGTCATTAACAGTGCTCATGAAAAAAGACTGTAGAAGCTAATCTGTTATTACTCATGCATAAAAATGACATGGTACGTGCTTAATACTGAGCTAACATAACATAACATAGACAGTTACCAAAAGTGAGTCGTCCAAAACTTTATAAGTGAGCATTGGATGATTTTTGCCTTTTATGACTAGTCCCACTGTGTTCTGGAATGTTCCAGAAATCACTAGAGTTTTTCAGAATGTTGTATAATATTTCCATCCTTGCAAAAGCAAAAAAAAAAAAAAAACACGCAAAATTAGTACAAAACCCATCTGTAATAAACCAGTGTTTCATAATTAATGATAGTTAAAATTAAAATTTCTAAAATTTACCTGACCTAAATATTTACTAAAATATTGATGCTACAATAATAATAATCAGCCCCACAGAATTGTATTTATTAATTTTTTTTACATTTAATCATTTTGAATTCATTTCTGAATTGCTCATTGGTGACCAACCCCGACCCTAAACTTGGGCCTACTAACAACTACCAAAAAACCCTAGAAACCAAATAATACACCAGATAACAACGTGCTATTCACTACTTTGCTAAATCTTGGTAGTGACTTTTTAATGGGCAAGTATCAAAATGGTCAACGTCTAGTTAATTAAGATTAGCTGATAGTTTCCATAAGATGAACAAATGGGGCGCAGACACTGCATGTGCAGAGAATTGCAATGCAAGAGAAGGTCTTTGATCAACGGCCCTCAAGAGCGTGACTTTAACCTCTTGTGAATCATCCCTATCCTTTTTCATTTATCTCTCTAGTCTGATAAAACTGGAGATGGGTTTTTATAGGCGTCCACATCTCTTCAGCGTTTGAGACTTTTTCCGCCGGATACAGAGTTTCCAGACGTGCAATACGTACTGAATCATCAAGACGTACCCCCACCCCCACCTCTCCCGCTGATCAAATATCATCAGCCTGAAGAAATCAAGACTTTCGCTGGGAAGCAGGATGGAGAGAGACAGCGGGGGAGAAAAGATGACATTATAATGAATCCCAGTAAATACCTGTTTTACTGCGTGGTTGAGTCTGTTCCCTTTTACTGCACAGAGTGCAGTGCAAAATGCTCTGATTCCCAGCATGCCCTGTGACCAGAAGGCCCCACTGTATCCCAATCTCCACCTTGACCGGCCTTCATCAAAGACAGATACAATGGAAAAATTGAAAGAGAGAGTTGGAAAGAAAATAGAAAGGTCAAAGAATGGAAAGGTACATCCAGTCAGCATGCTTCAGTTCAGAAAGGGTGAACATATTCTGCCACACATTTTGTGCAATCCTCAAAGCAAGCTCAGAAATGGGTTTCCCCCACAGGTGCAATGTGTGCACTATTCCAGAGAAGCCATTAGACTGATGCCGGAGCGCCGCACATTACGAATAGCAGTTGTAAGCCATAGGTCTTCTGTTTATAAGTCTCGCAGCCCCTTTTATGTTTGGCACAATGTGCTCTCGTGTGGTTGTAAACATCAGCACTCAAATGCAGAGAGCTTAGAGTGACACCTTTAGCGTGCAATTGTGGAACAGTATTTTATAACATTTGTCGAGTTAGGGATCATGCTGCTAAGTGCTCTTACTGGTACTGGTGGTCTTTTTTTATTCTGCATGTAAGTTTGTGCACGGTTAAGAAAAGAACTGAATATATATGCACCACAGGTTGATTTATCTTCATGCTTTTTATTTTATTTTATTTATTTATTTATTTATTTTAACAGCAGGTGATTTCTAAATGTCTGTCAGAAAAAAATCTAGAGAAAAATCTAGTGAAACTAGTCAACCTCAGTAATTAACCATTCTTGACCCATCCTTAACTAACACATTATATAAAGATTTATGTAACAGTTACACATCTGCAATCATGCAGCCTCTCGTTGGTCTTTCTCCTTGTGTTCACATTTGCAGGCAAATGAAAAGATCTGACAGGTGATGGCGACACACTGGAGTTAATAAAGCCAAAGTGCTGCAGGCAAATCGCAGGTTTATGGTCCTTTTTAAACACGCAGATATAAAAGAGTCAAACAGGAGCCTTTTATGACTCGCTGGCCTGCCCACGCTGCTTTTATTGAGGGGGAACATATTACTGTCCCTGGGGGTAGTCCTTTTTTCATCCTAAATGTCATTT